CCGTTGAGTCCACATTTCACACACTCCATATCTGTACTCAAGGTCTGCTGCTTTCTACGTGACATTGCACAGCACACACATGCACGCGTATATTTCCATATAAGGAAACTTTTATTTCCTTTGTAATATCTGTGGCTTTGCTGTGCGTGGATACCAACAAGTTTGTTTCAGTGATGTCTCTGCCAGATTAGCAGGCCCATCTCGGGGGTGGGGGGAGGCCCCCTTTCATGAGCAGGTGTCTCCTCCATCAGCAAAAACCATAGCATCAAAGTTATCTGTTGTTCACGTGATGTGCTTCCTAGCTGGAATTGTGTCCCCCCCGCTGCTGGCGACGCGGCAGCAAATGTAAGGGCCAAAGAAGGAGGGTTAGGAGACGTGTTTTGTGCTAGATTGAGTGAGGTGTTTCATTTTGTGCGTGTTCGATGTCATATTGGTCACAGGTGGAGGTCATTGTCAACACCATCCCTTCCAGTTGCTCAAAAGAACAATGCACTTTTGAATTCAGCGATGATTACACAGCCAAAGTGGAATCCTCCACTCCAGCTTCAGGTTAGTTGAGCAAGCTATGTATGCCTTGTCCAAGTACTCCCTTAGCACAGAAGTCACAAGCCATTGTCAGTGAGACAGATATTTCCCATGGCATGCTAGTATATTTAAACTTTATAAGCAGACAAGTAATAACAAGACCATCACACCAGATCTGTGTGACTGGTCCTCTTGTTTTGAGGATCGCACAACTGTGTGTCACAATTAACTTATTCTTTATATCAAACAAGGCCCCAGCATAATGTGGGCTCCAAAAGCCCACGAGCACCATCAGCTCTGAGCACCGAAAGCTCACCGAGCACCACAGCTCAATGCAAAGGGGAAAGCACAGATGTTTAAAGTTCAAGGTCATCAACACATGAACGTGTAGGATCATTAAACTGGAACATTATTGGCATAATATTGCCAGACATTATAATGAGCCAAATATCCTTTCCAAGAAATCTTAATCATTGAAAGTGATTAAAGATTAGTACGGGAGCCAGTACAAATAATGGAGGAAATTTAAAAAGGAGTTGTAATGATACTCAAAAATGAAGTGTCATCATTGTCCGATTGGATGATGTCTGTGCAGTTCATAAAAGCTATTTTAGTGCTTGTCTTCTGCTTCAAGACTTCAATTAAAGGCAGGTTCATTCTTCAGGAGGATACAAAAGTGAAGCAGATTTGCCATCATAAGAATGGTTGTCAGGGGAGATTCGCTCCAGTTACAAGGTGTCCAGAACTTTGTAAATATGCACTTGGTAAATGTGAATCGGTCTTGGTGAACCTCAACCTATTATGTTATTAGCAGCCACTGTTTTTTCCTCCACTTTCAAGGCACTGCGGGTACCAGTCTGACGTTGACCGGCTCTGGGTTCAGCACCACCAAGGAGATGAACCTTGTGACCATCGGTGGGGTCAGCTGTGAAGTCACGGCTGCCACTGACACGTCAATAACATGCAGCATGGGTGAGGTGGCCGCCGGAACACATAAAATCAGCGTGGAGATTGAGGGACAGGGTCTAGCACGCTATCCAAATGGTGAGTATCCCCCCCCAATAAAAAACCTTCAAAGCCGTCTGTTTTGTTACTTCTAGGGTGTGTCAGAACTAGGTATCTTGGATAACTGACGGTTGATATCTGATAACTGGACAGTGTAAAAATGGCATTTTCAATTTGGAGGGAAATGACTCAAAATGACTGTCTACTCTTTTCATCCTTGAGGTGGCAAAAACATTTCAAATGTGTGAGTAGTTTCAATTTCTAACAAAACGAAAGAAAAGAAAGCGTTCTAAAATTAACATGTTTCCGGGAGCACTGTTCCCTCACACTGCAAGCTGCACCACTAGCAAGTTACTTAGTTACTTCTTAGATGATGGAAAGGAGACCTTTTAATCTTGAAACAGCTTTTGGTTTTGACCATCGCACAGTGGAGCAGGAGGGAATCTGCGGCCTTGAGATATCAGCTCTTCCCCATTTTTTTAAATTGGCATGTATGTAAAGACATTCATTACGACTTCATCTGCTAATTTTTTATTCAATCCAACTCGGAGTTTTGTAGTTTGTATGTTATTTGTAGTTCAAAGCCTCTTGCGAGTTGGTCCATGCGTGTGCACTGAGCACGTCAGTTGGAAAAGTTAACATTTTTGGCTGTTCTATTTAGGATAAATTGGCATTTTTGCAACAACAGGTATATCGGATAGTCATAAACTTGATGTCGCGATTATAATACAGTGTTTTTCATGGTAAGACATTACCGGAAAAGTTCTTATAGGTTCCACTTGAAAAAAGTGCCGATTTCCTCATTTAGGTTAGGTATTGTTGAAAAATTTTAAGATAAAAACTAGGCTACATGGAAGTCTCACTTAAAATTGATGTGCAAAGGCTGTTTGCTAACAATTTGGTTAAGACCAAACAGGCAATTCAATTGCATTTTTACATATGCTGTATCCTTTCTTTCCTTTGAATGTCGGGGCTAGGTTTTTCTTTCGAGGATCTTGGTAGCCGTGCTCTACTGTAAGGGCATAGTTCTGGTGAATGCAATTATTCCCATCTACATGTATCTTGATGAGGTTGCAACTCTTTAGTAGTACTGGCAAAGTGGTTGTAAAAACGATAACTCATTGGTTCTGACCGTGCAGGTTACAGTATTTGTAGCCGTTGATTTTTGTTTTCAGCTGCGGAAATGTCTGACATTCGTGACAAATTTCATGTTCTTTCTGCTCACAATTTGCAGGACCCTTGTCATTTCAATTTGAGCTTGGCCTTACTACAATCAATCCAACTTTTGGAAGCTTAGCTGGTAAGCCTTGCTGATTGGATGTATTGTAACTTGTACATATTGATGGTTCTGTGTTGCTCTGCCATTTGGTATGGTCTTACCATGTGTCACTTTCTGTTTACCGGCTAACAACATTTCTGGTGAGAAAAAGATTTTACATTTCGTCGGTTGCATTACCAACTGACATATCTTGGATAGTTGCTGCACAGCAAACTGTTGTATCGTGTGTACAAGATCTATGGATGGTAAGTCATCACTTCATGGTGCACCAAAACTATCCTACATGTCACTTTGTGGTGATTGTGAAACCGATGATTTATTTGAATTTGGCGTCATCTTTTGGAGGGTTACTTCGTTTAAAAACATTTTTTTAGAGTCATTCATTTTATTTTGGTAAATATTATTTCATATCATGTAAGTTCACCAAATTTGACAAAATATTTTGTTACATTTCTGCAATGTAACTGGACATGTCTAGGCACTAGTTTCATTACAGCAACTTCAAAATGACAACTGCTTGTGTGATTATTGGAAGTATTCATTAATCTCCGTCTTTTGCATATTGGTCATGTAGTTGTCTACATTTGCCATTTTGTGCAACGATTAATATTTCACCAAAATATGCTCCCAGGAATGTATGAACCATATTTGTGCTATTTGCATTGATAGGCGGAACCAAAGTGACAATTACTGGGAGCGGATTTAGCCAAGACAAGGAGGATGTGGACGTTTCTGTCGGGACTCAGGCGTGCCGGATCGATTCAGTCAGCTACAGTGAGATCATCTGTGTCATCGCATTAAATGCAGAGGTGAGAACAGCCAAAACATTTGACAGAGAAGAGTCACATATTCTTGTTCTGCTTTTAAATCTTGTGACTGTTGTATGCATATTGTATGCGAACAGGACCTATTGACTTAGTGATATTGACCAAATTTCATTTCATTTTATACTTTGCGGAAATATGTATTAGCTAATTACATAAGATTGGATGGCGTTTTGGTAATGCAATGCACTCATTGTAACAACTTAAATATTGCAGGAATGGAGGATAAGAGCAATCTAGTATTGTTATCATTTGGGGTTTTTTTTGTTGATTAGCTCTGGCCAAGTTAATTAGAATCACCAATTGAATATTTTCAGTCCAGCGTCCAAATTTCCGACTAACTTTGTTCAAAGTTCAGATGTGTTTCAACACTGGTGACTCGTGATATCACTACGCTCAATGTGATGAGATGTGGGTATGCTCATACCGCCATATTGATAGGGACCAGCCCAGTTAGTTTGTGAGGATTGCCAGTGTCAAAAGTGTTTCCTCCCATAATTGATGCTGATTTATTTTCAGCACATAAAATCTTAATATGAATAAAAATTAATAGGCCTACATGCACTTAAATTTCTCGTTTTAGTCCATCCTGTCCTATACCTTGTGATCACTAAATGTTGTTTTTTTCCTCAATGGTTATCCGCCAGGCACCAGATTCCTCCGTGGATGCAGACGTGACAGTAACAGTAAATGGGGTGTCTAAGGATCTGTCAAGTTCTTTCACCTTTGACCCGACAAAGACACCAACTATTACTAGTATAAGCCCAACAAAATCGCATGTAGATGGTAAGTCCTGTCCCAGGCCGATTGTAGTGCCCAGAAATCCCGAACACCCAAGATTTTGTCATATTTGTCGTAAGAAGACACAACATGTAGACTCAAAAATTGGGACTAAAGCTTAACCTAGAGATCTTGTGTTTATTAGGTACTGTTTGCACAGTTTCATTCAGGATTTAGGATACCAAGACAATTGATGTGTAGTAAACAGAAGTTTAAGTCAATATCGACCCTAAATCGATCTTAAGCAACATCATCAACATGGTGTTATTAGCCACTGGCCGAGTCTTAGAATATCTGACATGAACCTGTTCAAAACTGCAACTAAAACCTCAAGATCAAGAATATGGTTCTTGTGTCCTTATACAAAGGGGAAATGATTATTCATGGGGTAGTTCTGTTGCTATCATGGATGTGAAACTGAGCATTTTTATCCCTTAAAGGGTCTGTGCAATGGGATTTTAATATTCAACCCTTGATGGTGTACCTTAAGTGCATCGCAATTAACCTAACCTTCAAGTTTTGTTTTGCTGTTAAGGATATTTTGGCACTTCTCAGTTTTAATGTTATTGAGTACTTCCATATTCTTTAGCAAAACTGTGATGGCATTCTTGGGAGGAAGCCTCAGTGTCAAACTGATTTTTACACAAAAAAATGCTGGCATTTTCTTTCTGTAGACATTTTGATGGCCTAGATTTCCTTTTCTTTTGTGATTTATTGCTGTGTGAGCATGTAAGCCAACAAGAAACCCTTTGTCAGAAATATTCTAGATGAGCATAGTTTGGGTGCGAAACTTGAACAGAAAAAGCTATAAAATGAACAGTGTCTCCCCTGAATGACATCACAGCAACCATGTCCTTGGCTGTCAGGAATAGCAAACCACTTTTTTAATGTTTGAAACAAATGTACTTTTCAATACATGTAACCGCAAAGGATGTCAAATAGTCTGTTAAAGTCGAAGAGTAAAAAGTGTGAAGTTGCACAGAAATATTCATCACTGGGATCCTTTTCACCGCCAGGTGGCGATGAGCTCACCATCACTGGAACAGGCTTCACTGTCTCTGGCGCGGTGGTCTCAATTGGAGAAGGGGACTGTGAGGTCACAAGTCAAACTGACACAGAAATCAAGTGTACGATACCCGAGCACAATCCTGGCACCTTCTTTCTTGAACTCGCCATCACTGATCAAGGTTTTGCTAAAACAAAGTAAGATTTCTCAGGAAGAGTTACATTATAATCCTTCTACTCTTTCAAGAACAGAATCTCTTACAAGGAGGGAAGGACAACAGATAGATCTTTGAATTCGGAACTAAGAATCACAAGAATTAGGCTTCCATTCTTTTTTTAAACCAAGTTACAAACCACTTGCCGGTGGAATCATTTGTGGAAAGTCTTACTTTTGAAAAGGGCATTACTGGCCACCTATTCAAACACAGCCAAAAGCCATGGCTACTGGCTCTCCAAACTCACGTGTGCTGTGTCTGCAGTATTTGTACTGTGTTTTTCATCACAAACTCATAGTCTAGACACTCTGAGCCCCCCGCCGTAGAACAATTATGTGCTGCAATCAAGGCCATACATAGCAGCCCTCCAAGTTCAAGTTGAACACAATGTCTCTCCCAAGACTTCTCGGACAATGTGTATGTGCACAACACCGATAAGCATTAGGAGAATTGTAGTGTCTGCTGTCAGAAGTGCTAACATATGGTATATTATCTACACACCAATGACTACCGATTGCCTGAACTTGTTTACACACCTTTTGGTTGGAACCAGTTAAGACCTGTCATAGATGCACTTACTGTACCTATCACTGACAGATTGGGGGAGGGCAGTGGGGACCATCAAAGGTGGATCGGGGGAGGGTAAATGAAGCCAGGGCTTGCAAAACAGAGCCAAAAAATGTTTAAAAAATAAATAAAATGAGAGACATTTTTTTGCTCTCTTTCTTTTGCCTTTCTCCCCAAAGCCTGTGAAAAGCCTCAAGATGTAGCCTCATCCTCAGATCATAGGCCATAAAAAGTTACATGGAAATTTCCAAAATTATAGGCCCTCAAACGAGTTTGCCATCCCCCCCCCCAAAAAAAATGGGATCTGTTTCCCCCCTTGCAGGCCACCCCCAAAACATTTCCGTTGCTTTTGAAAAAGAATAAGAAAAAAGGCAATATTTTAGGGCTATTTCACATCCTTTCAAAAACAATTCTCCCCAACTTTAGCTTCATTTCTTAGAAAGGTCATAAAGGTTAACGCATAAAGAAATTTCCTAAGAAATCTGAATATTTGGTCTCCCCCCCAAAAAAACTTCACATCCCTGTCCCCCCAAAAATGGTTAGGGATCCACACTTATTTATGTCCTGTGATCTCTGTTCTGTCCATTGCGCAGAACATTCTAACTAGAGCATTTTTACTTTTTTAAAAAAATATTTTCTTGTATCAGATTTTTGGCTATATACATCAAAGACTTCGGCTTACATTTATCAGCATGATTTCTCCAACAGCGGAATAAGTTTCCTATACGACTTGGAGGTGACAGGGATATTCCCGGACTATGGCTCCCTGCAAGGACAAACGGAGGTTGCTATCACGGGGTCAGGCTTTGGCACCAACGCCAGCGACGTCTCTGTCAGTCTAGGGGATTTAGGATGTGAGGTGAAGGCCGTGAACGACGACTCCATCCGCTGCATCACCGCAAGCTCCGGGAGAACGCACAAGGTCGACAACAGCGGCAAGCACAATTGTAAGTTTAAATAGCTCCGTTGAGCCATGCCAGAAACGGCACTGTTGCCAAGGGCGGATCCACTACCAAATTTGCCAGGTTGAGGGGGATTGTGTTTTTAAGATATTGAAAAATTTCAGAATGTCTTGAAGTTACCTTTTATGGCCTTTCTGAGGGTGTGGCAAAATTTGGGGGTTTTAACATGCTTTTTGAAGGACGAAAACTACAGAACTACAGAAGTCCCAAAAATGATCCTTTCCGAGGATTTTTCAAAGTAAGCAATTGTCCTTTTTTAAGGTTCAAGATACACATGACTCAAACACAAATGGACTCATTTGAGCACGTTTGGCAACCCTGTGCAGATCATCGTGTGATTAGGACAAACAGAAAGGATATGGAACATTATGAGATGACAATTTATATCACAGTTTCCAGAATGGAAGAGAGTAGTGGTCACAGTGTGCAGGCGGGGCATAGCAACTGGGGCGGGGTTCTGGTTTTATGTGGTTGAACACAGCTTCATAAATCAATAGAGCAAAAATTTAAGTCAAGGTATGGGCTGTAGACTGTTTTTATTCCTTGATTTCAAAATCTTAGGAAATTTTTACTTTTTTCAAATGGATATAGTGCCGTTTGGAATTAACTCTCCACGTCATTTCCTTACCAAACAGCCTATGGCTTAGGGTACAAATGGAATCCCCAGGTGCTGACGATCCTGGCCGGGGACGTGGTGGTGTGGAAGTGGACTACATTGGACTACGTGACAGGCATTACGTACTCAGTCCACCAGACAGCCACTGCTGATGCCGTGGATTACGACGGGACGGGATTCTACAGTGGCAGTCCAACTCCAAATGGTCGGTGTGAAATCCAGACTAACACATAGCATTTTCAATTACCCTACTTCACACATATGATGCAGAGCCAGACTGCCACTGGTCAATTCACTATCACATGCAGGCCGGCAGACAGGGTTCCACCCACAGTTGAAATATGCAAGCCCATAGTGAACTGTTCCCCGGGAACATGGGATCGTGCCATGCACTTTATGAAGCAATCTGGAACTGTAGCCCTGGTGAGGTATTCAGCCAACCATAATCTTAGCTTCTCATGAAGTGATGGTCTCAATTTTACATGTTGTTGAGCTTTTTAAATGATGCCTGAAATAGGCATGGCAATTGAATATGTATGACCCGTGTTAAAACAAATACAACACAGTTTATTTTGGGCGGACAGCTGATAGTTCCCCTCGGTATCAGAGGAGCTTAACTTAAACGCTTTATCCTCTCTGTTATAATTTGTTTTCCTTCTTGTACCGCCAACATCATGTCATCTTTGATACCCTAACCCTGCCCATTGCAATGAAGGGCAAGAAATGCTTGGGTTCAGGGGTTGGGCCTTGCTGCATTGGACAGTCAGTGCTTACAGCATCAACAGAAAATTCAGGGGAAGACATGGGAGTTACATAGTGCATTGCTTAGTGTCATTGTCTGATCCTTTGATGGCCTTTTCTGGCAAGCAAAGAGCTGCCACTGGAAGGTTGTACGGTTGGGGAACAGTTGAGCACTTTGATTTTACACAAGGCAGATTTCTCACTCACATTGACAGATGTGCATTGCTGTGTGAGTGGGGTTCCTACCAAAATGCTTTTAGGGTACCTGGGTCAAAAGCATGGTTATTTAAACAAGTTGATAGGAATTATTTCACTTGATTGTTTCTCACTTACGTTTGATGGCTAGGAGAAAGATAATGTTAATAAAAATGATGCAAAATTTACCAAAGAACTCACCATTTCTTTGGTTTTGAGGCAAAATACGAGTTGTCAATGGAATGAACTCTTGCCTTCTTATCTCGCATAAACTCAAATTCAAAATCTGTATTCACTTCTCTATGGATAATTTAAGGTAAATGTTTGGCTGCTATTAAAATCAGACAAATACGTAATATAATAAACAGTAACAGGATGAATGGAAAGGCGCTTAGCTGGATTCTATTTTAGTCGATACGGCCAGTGAGTACACGGTCCTGTTGGTCCTTAACCGAAAACACATCCAAGCATGTCAGTACGGGAAGACGGTATGTTTCTTGCAGACGTGTTTGTCCATCGCTTTTCTGCTCCTGGCACCTATTACTACTCCAGTGAAGAGGTTGCCCAGAACAGCCAGCTATACATGAAGGGAGTAGTCAAAGTGATTGAGGCCACGTCGTCCTCGCACAGACTGACTGTGGAAGTGGCTGGCCATGAAGCTCAGTACGACACGAAGTCAGGTATGCAAAATGTTCTCCCAAGCTCTGGCATCATATATCCTAGCTGTGCTCACAAAGTGACAGACACCTCAGTACGTTGTGAAACAGACATTCGGAGATACATGTGATTGCATATTAATTATCTGTTTGTTTGAAAACATGTTTTCTGCTAGGTTTTTTGTAACAGGAGTGGAAAGTTGGGGGATTATCTTGTAAATAATACATGCTTTGTTGTTTGCTAATTCATACTCAGTTGTGGCAGAAATCTGTCTTTATTAAATAGCAATTCATTAATAAATTTTTCTTTTACATTGTGAGAACAGTTGAAAATGTGGAGACCTCCACTTGTTTCCTTTAGACTTACAGAGTTTGTGTCGCTTTGTAAAAAAAACATTATTTTGCATTGTTGTTTTACGTGCGGTATGGTCCTAATTGCCTGTTCTTCATTGTTTTAATTCCTGGTAATACAAGAATCCTGTTATAACAAAGTTATCTGCAAATCCGATATTTGTTGAAAGAAATATATACCTGCTCAAATAGAGTACCGAAGTGTGACGTCACTGTGAACCAGAAAGTGCAGTGCAAACGAATGGAGTACGGACGTGTGTTGGTTCACGCGCTGCTTCTCGCACTAATGCCTTTTACCACTAATTGTGCATGTGACGTATTCACTTCGGTACTCTATTCAATTGGATGATTTACATGAATGTCACAGAAAGGAAAGGGATGTGACCACAATGGGGGATTCCCCGTACTGTATGCCGCCAACAGATTGCCAATAGGAAGCAATTTTTCAAGGTCACAGTTGAGAAAAACATGGCTGTCTTGCCATGATTTGCATTTGAGTATGTGTCAGTAGACAGCAGTGGAAATTCTTACATTCCATGCAATGAGCGCCGAACTGGACCGAGAAACGGTGCAGTTTTCCTGGAAAAGCAGGCTCCTTTGGTAGGAACTGGTTTACAAACAGCTACGAAGTGCACACATTACAGTCGCATCATTACCAACAAATGAGCACTCCAGACCAACATGGCTCTTTTCAACCGATGAGGGGAGTGCTTCTCCTCAAGGTGGATAGGCAGAAGAAAGGATTAATTAAAACTGCTACTCAGGATACCGATCTTGTCCGAAAAAAGCAAACATCAGAAGTTCCCCTTATGCAGCCAGCAAATAGAATTTGTCGACCATAATTTCCATGTCAAGATGTGCACTGCAAAATAATGCCTTTTAGTGCAAACCTCTTGGTGGCGCCCTATACTGTGAATCGCATGTATTTCACCAACAATCAAACCATGAAGAGGGCAGAATGCACGGTACAGCTAGGAAGAAGTTTCTCGGAAAGTGCCAATCACTGAAGATTCAAGAAGCTGTGTGGGGCAGGGGAGTGGAACGTTACCCATTACCAGGGGAGCTGTGCAGAATGGGAGAGACTCCACAGTTCACATCCTCCTGTAGGCGTGGCTTTAATTATGGTTCCCCTGTTGCTGACAGCTTCATAGTTTTGCTTCCAAATTCATTGGAGAGGGAATGGCACCCCCACCTGCACACACTCACCCCACTCTGTCCCTGATGTAACAATTCTCTGTGGATTGTTGATTGAATACAAGTTTAAACCACCTGGCTTATTCATAATACTTTCCTTATTCTGTTATTTGTCAGTGTATATTTTGAGTTCCTTTTTTCGGTTGTGCCAATTTTTTTTTTAATCAACTCTTAGTTTTGTTAATCTTAATGCTTTAAGACTCCATATCAAAATCATTGGTTAGCTCTTTTTTTTTTTGGCCCAATTTTTCAAGGCGCAACTGCACCAGTAAGTCCAGACGCCTGTCCCGGAACAGCCACTACCATTTCTGGATGTGACACGCCCAAATCAAGCGGCGATGATGCTGACAGCTTCTACTTTGCCTATTGGATCTGCAGCACTCCAGTCATCAGCAAAGTCACCCCTAACCAGTAAGCAAATGCACGTTCTGAGGTCATGTTCATTCAAGAAAAGAACAGGATGTGAAAGGAGACGTTTCAGTTACAGCAACTTTTTACAGAGATAAATACAGTGGTTGGTGGTGGGCCCAACAGGGGCCCTGGCTCTCCCTAAATAGGAGCCAAAAATATTTGTTTGAAAAAAATGTAAGAGTTGCTGGTTTTTGTAGTTATCATATTTGAAAGTGTGATTTGAATTTTATGTAGTGCAGAATTGTTTGTTCTTTTTTTCAAGTATGAAACCCATGCTCTCATAATATTGGTTTTCTTATGATCATGTTGCAACTCAGGACGCGATAAGGCACAATATTTGCTGATGGTGAGAATCTAACTGCATGTAGGTTTGAAGTACGGGCGTTTCACAATAGCGCTCCTCCAAGAGTTCGCAACGTGTTGGCCATTCACAATACGCAAAATTTGTCGACCCAATGCACATTTGGAAAGGGCCAACAAATTTCGCGCCCCATTGCTGACTCTTGGAGGCACACTATTGTGAAATGGCGGTATTGATGCTGCAAGAAGTTCAGGGTTTCAAGGAAATGATTTACATGATGTGTGATGAACCTTTCTTTGGTACAGGGGTGACTCAAGTACAACTGTAACAATCCAGGGCAAAGGATTCAGCACAGAGAAATGTGACAATGAGATTTCTGTTGGTGATTTCTCCTGCGACGTGCAGACCAGCACAGACACTGAGCTCACCTGCCATGTTGATCCAGCCAACAGCATGAAGGTCGGGGAGCCGCAGTTAGTATCAGTCAATGTTAAGAATAGCGGACGGGCCTTGAACCAGATCAAGTCACCGGCGGAGCAGGGTTTCACCCTCAAACCTCGCATTGATTCCATTTCCCGGCACGAGGGATCTGTCAGCGGCGGCACAGAGATCACCATCAGCGGGAGTGGCTTTGTGGCAGTCGGGGACGGGGCGGTGTCAGTGCGCATTGGCGACCGGGGCTGCCTAGTCCAATCCCGGACCTACACACAGATAGTGTGCATCACCAGCAATACCGGAGGTAGCGGCAGAGCTCGCAGAGCTGCAAGTTCAGACCTGTCACTGGAGGTCGGCTCCCAGCAGGCCGTCTGCAGCAGCGACTGCAGCTTCAGTTTTGCAGACAGCAAGACGCCCCAGGTTGACACCATCACACCACAAACCATCTCAGCGGGAAGCACCGCTGTCACCATCACCGGCTCTAAATTCACCACCGACCCATCGTCCGTCAGAGTCACCATCGGGGATGTGGAGTGCTCAATCACCAGTGCCACGGAAATAGAAATCCAGTGCACAGTCAGCTACGTCCCCGCCGGAAGCCAAGAAGTGGTAGTGAACATTGCCGACAAGGGTGATGCCAATTTTAACACAGGCAACACGGTGACCAGTTCCAGGGTCATTAGCAGTGTCGTCCCTGCCACGGGCAGCACGGCAGGAGGCCAGGTGATCACCATCTCAGGAAATGGTTTCGTGGAGGGGAACACAGAGGTCAAGATCGACGGTCAGGTGTGCGATCTTGAGAGTGTGAGCCTGAGCGAGGTGAAGTGCAAGACTCGGTCGCACGCAGCCGGTAAAGTCAAGCTTAAGGTGAAGTCTAATGACGGAGACTATCCAGCCCAAGATTACGAATATTCAGCCGCAGCTACACCCACAGTCACATCAGTGACCCCATCCAAAGGTCAGTTCATATTCATTTGGTTAGGAGTCCATGGCAAATGAAATGCAGCCTCGAAAATTCTGTATGTCCAACTTTCAGTCCCGGTGCACAGAAAGGGGACACACCAATTGGGTAAAGCAACTTAAAACAGGTTCTTATGAAGAGAATACAAACCCAACTCTTTCAAAAATTTTGCCCATAGGCACAGGCATGCAACGATAAACAGTGCAGAACTGAAGCTTTATGACAGCCCACTCATGGATTTAGCCTTTTGATTGGCTCAAACCATGTCACATGTTTTACCTCTTTACTATTGACAGCTCACACCGAAAGAGGCTATACCTTTGCCGCCTTGTTCTGAAAATATCAGACGCATAACATCATCCAGCGAATATCCAAAATGTTAACACTTTTAGGCTGGACATGGGTAGACCTGCGCTGTGTTAAGGGGAAACTTTTTTTTTTTTCTTTTGTGAGAAAAGTTGGGACCGAGTTGTGGGTACAAACGTCTTTGGTCCCAACAGAATCTATTCAGTTCAGTCGAAATATTTGGAATGATTTTACCTGTTTTTATTTGTAATGAGGTTTCTTTGCAAAAACACATCTGAATATCCAGTTGATTTTGAATGACACAGAGGAAAATATGATTTTTATTTGTGGAAACTTGATGGGGATATCTCACAGTGAAAAATGAAGGAGGAGGTTCCAAACATGCTAAAAAGGTGTAATCTTGTGCGTCGGTATTTGAACAGGTGGCATTTGAACATCAACATATCCTCATTTGAAGTAAGTTTCATTTTTTCCTGGGAAAAGATTCTCACTGCCAGTTGATTGTCAAAGGATATTTCTACAGCTTTGTCAAGTATGTCATATTTGATATGCATGTGGATAATTCCAGAAATTAGGGGTCCAAAGGTGTGACATTTTTGTGTCCTTGTTAAATCTGACCTTTGTTATTTGACATGGAAATATCACCAGAATTGATTTCAAACTATTACTATTTGTTTGGCAGGTAATTTGCATTAATTCATCACTCTTGGAAATTAGAAAATGTGATCTAAACTTACAAAATTATATGTCAGACAGGGACACGAAAAAATGGACCCCTAATTTCTGGAATTACCCATGTAACATTCCATTGACCTCTTTATCTGTACTAGGTGAAACTGGCAGCCAGATTACAATCAGTGGTTCTAACTTCGGCTCTACAATGGCCGACGTCACTGTCACACTGGATGACGCCATCTGCAGTATCGTCTCTGTGAATGATGCCTCTGTGGACTGTACGCTCGGCAACCACTCCGCAGGCATCTACCCCATTGTGCTGCACATCCACGGAAAGGGGCTGGCGTCAGGCGACGTTCAGTTTGAGTATGAGTTGAAAGTGGACTCGGTCAGTCCAACTGAGGGTGAGTCATGGCGCTTGGGTTTTGTTTACTCGTCACAAAGTACAGTTTTTGTCCCATGCAAGTTCAGTGACCCAGTGAGACTATGAGGCTGTGAAGATAAAGTTGTTTGGGAATTATGGTAACATGATATTCATGGATTATGTTATCTAATCTTTGCCATCCTGGTTTTGCATATATAATTTCCTTTCTTGTCCATGTTTTGCTTCTGTATGTATTCCCTTTTTGTTCTTTTTTTTCTACCACACAGCAATCCTCTTGATCTTGTCTTTAATTCATATCAAGGAAACCCTTAAAGATAATGAAGCAATGTTACAGTTAAGTCCTGTAATCCAAATTCACAAGGTGAAGTCTTGTTCTCTAGTTTAAGGTGGTGTGAATTAGACTAGATTCAAGAAGGAGGCCTGCAGATTAGCACTCTATGATAAATTGAATAGCTTCTTCTTTGAAGGTATGCTGTGTTGTGCAAAAATCAATTGGTATAAATGTTGCTTTTTGTTTCAGAATTAACACTCTGTCTGTGTCGGTTACCATTCAACCTTAGAATGGACAGAGTAAAAATTTTAAAAAAGGTTTATGAGAAAAGTTTCGGTCACCAATTTTTGCAATACCAAGAGGTGTCATGAAAGAAAGTTGACATCCAGGTTTGTGGATGTCAGCAAACAGGCTGCAGTGGACAGTGCACACGAGATGAAGTAGCTTGTGGGTTCTTACACTGTTCGTTGTGTGATACAGCAGTTAAGCAGTTAACTGTGAGACTTTGCATGTAAGAAGTTAGCAGCAAAGTTCAGAAGACTTGTCGGGGTACTGTGCTGTGAATTCCCTTCAATTCATGCAACTTGCCATCCACAGACTCCCGATTAAGCCAAAATAGTTTAAGCCATGCCTGACAATAAATTTGCCAGTCAATGTTGGTTTGAAAAGAGTCTACACCACTCAAAAAAAATGAAATTTGAGTAAAACATGAAACATTGTGTGGACCTGTGCAAGTCCATGCAATGTCCTTGAATCCATGTGGACCTCTTTTGTTCCTCGGGTCCACGCAGTGCATGTTGACCTAGCCCACTCACTTTAGGCTCTCAAGCGCACTGTCATCTTGTATTGATCACCTCACAGGGAGTTTTGGTGGCGGTCAGGTGATGACTCTCACTGGAACTGGCTTTGATGACACGGCCTTGGTGACTGTGTGTGACCGCGTGTGTTCAAATGGCGATGTGGGTTCTTCATCAGTGGAGTGCGAGGTGCCATCCAATGCAGGTACGAGTTGCCAAGAAGAGCACAGAGGGTCCCTGGTTTAGCATAAAATCATTGCCACAAGTCGAGAAGAGTGACTAACGTTACAGTTGAGCATTTTCATTGCAGACTATGGTGATTGTACATCAGTTTTAATCGTCTGTAGAAAGACTCTGCCAGCAAATGAATAAGGACGGTAAGCATGTCAGATAGCGCAACAGCTGGAGTGGACTGGTTGGCGTGTGATGTTTATGGGACTTGCTGACCACTGTGCCCCAACATAATCCTATTGCTTTCTTCACGTCAGTGATAGAATTGTCAACTTTCACCCGCATCTCCCCGAACTTACTGTAACACAGACAAGTGCATTGAAAGAGTTAACTCTCAGTAACCGTATGAGCATTTGTGACTGTTCCCATGGCAAGATTAGCTTTATCAATCAAAATGTGTTACAGGGTTAATTAGTGCATAAATCCACCAGTACTGCTGCTCAAGGTGCTATGTCCCTCCTTACTGTGCCCACAAACATTCCTATGACCATCTCAGTTCGCTGATACTGCTCAGAATTTCTGGTGCAAACAGCCAGTCAAGCAGAGTATTTCCATCTCTGCCCTCACTGGTACCCATTTACTCCTAGGGGGAACGAGGCACCATAGGAGCGCACAGGTGATTTGACCTATTACGTCACAGCTTTATTCCCAGGTGCTGGATATGAACCCTTTACCTAGCTGTGAGCCGATGTTACAAATCCCTTGCACCGCCTGGCAATACGTTCCCCCTATTTTGGCTTATCTTTGCTCTAGATCCTCCCCTGATTGGTACCCACCTCGTGTTTGTGGCAAAAGTTTGCAGAAAGTTCCCACTTCGCTTGTGACAGGTTTTGTCTCAGAATGTGCATACTGTCCCACTGGTGTTAAACAGGGAGATGTTTTCATTTAGAATTCATACGCTGCTTTGATAGCTGTGGGGTAAGATTTTCTTTAAACACTTTGTGAAGTACTGTTGCGTTCTTGTACTGACGGTCAGCCACCGTGTACCAACCACATCTTGACAGAAATTCCAACTGTGACGTAGCCGGAGAAAGGTCTTCATAGTTGTGATGAAGACAAGAACGTGAGCAACCACATGTGAGATGGCAAAGAGTTGTGGACAGTGGCTGCTGAAGGCTAAGCGATTTAAATTTTAATTCAGTTGCAGACAGTGGCACCCTGGCCTGTGACGTTATAGTAACCCTAGCAAGTGGCTCTTCTGTCACCAAATCGGACGCCTTTACTTACAAGACATCCCTGACGCCGGTCATTGATTCTGTGGAACCTCGTCGTGGTGGAACTCAAGGAGGAACTGGACTCGTCATCAAGGGATCGGGATTTCAGTAAGGATTTGGGCTTTGTTTGAATGCATGATTCATTCATTTTTTTTTCTTTTTGGTCAAATGAACAGGATATTTTGTTAGCACTGCCGTGCTATGTATAAAGATCCCATCGGGTGCAGATCCAGAACCATTTTTGGGGGGGATGACAAATTTGTGTGGTAGCCAAAAATTTAGACTTTCTTTTTGTAACATTTATGGCCTTTCTGGGGGGTAGGGCTGAATTTGGGGGCTGTTTACATGCTTTGGAAAGGAAAGGAAATGAAATGTAAAAAAAATCATCCTTGAATTTATTTCAAAACCAAAAATATTGACATTTTTGATGGAAGTCAAGTAATAGGTAGGGCATCATGTAACATTAGCCTAACTGTAGATGGAATAAATACAATCCTACTTCAATGTATACTATTCCAAAGTTACTCCAACTCCGTTTAGATTTTTACTAGGGAAACCTAATGAACCTGTTTTATACCCAACATTGCAGTAACCCAGTAACTGTACAATTGTATCATAACCCTTGCATAAAAGGTGAAAGTGCTTAGGGCATATTAGTTTTAAATCTGTCAAAATTCTGTTCAAGTTAGTGATGGATTTCAGTGAGATCAGGAGGGCCAGTGGTAAAGTGATTTCATGATCTCTGCGATTTCCTTGGTGAATACAGTTAGATTCTTCTTGGATTTGACTTTTCCAGGGCTACTGGCAATGTAGTGACTATTGGTGGCACAGAATGTACCATTACAAGTGAACAGGTAACACAGATTGAGTGTACAACCGAAGCTCACGGGCACTCGGAGAAGACCAAAGTGAGAGTTGAGGTCGGTAGTCAAGGTATTGCCACACAGGTGAGTGTGAGTGTTGCTGGAAAAAAGAGTTTTGGGATTTCCTGGAAGAGAGGCACAGAGGGTTATGGACTTTGGATGATGGTTGGAGGAGGGTAGTGGAATATGATAGAGAAGGGTCTATTAAACAGGTTTGTCTGAATATTTTGTACTCATTCTGTCGAAAGTAGATCAAAAGTCACTACAGCCCATCCATCCCATATTGGTCTTAAATCCTGTGCATACGAACTGGCAACACACACACCAAGTGTCTTTGGTTAGCTCACAATCAAGTAGGCTGCATAGCACCCTCTACAGTTCCAAGACACCGCCTTTCGCGTCCAAGTCTTGTGTCTTGAGGTGTGTCTAGGTCTGTGCCAGTTTTTAAAATGAGCACGTTCTAACTGAAGTTGTGGTCATGTCTCTTGAAGCCCCTCTAAACTGTGGTATTTGAGACTTAATCTGCATCCTTTTCCAGTCTTCTAACCCTCGCTTGTCTTTTTCAGGACAATGCGGACTTCTATTACATCGATGTGTGGTCATCTCGTTATACCTGGGGGAACAAGGACCCACCAATTAAGGGCGACCTAGTTGTTGTTCCCGCTGGCCAGACTCTGCTGCTTGATGTCACAACGCCGATCTTGTCCATGCTTCTTATTCAAGGTTTGTTTTCAAGAGTTGACAGCATTCTCTATTTCATTTCATGATTTCACCTCCCCTCTTACACACATGTGTGACTGGGCTTCTTCTTTTTACTTTTTGATCTCTGTCGTGTTTCCTTTTCAATATGTTCAAGTTTTTCCTTTATGCAAAATTGCTTGAGGCTTGAAGATAAAAGACATCCTAGGTACAGAGCTACAGGAAGACGTGTTGGGCACGATCAGTCAACCTGCAAGATTGCTTGATCTCTTGGTGATCGCTTGATCTATCAATAATCTCATCTTCAGATGATTTTTTGTTTTTACCCACATTTGAGAAAGATTGTTTCCCAAAAAAGGGAGATGAGTCAGAGATTTCACACAGGATCGACTAATAGCACAATGCAATTGTGCTGATTGACTGATCACACCCAACAAAAGTACTTACTAAACTCACTGGAGGTATAATTCATCTTCTTAAACCTGGATGGATCAGATTTTGAGAGTATTTGCTAAAGCTCACAATTAATTTCTTTCAGAAGAGAGGGTGAAGCACTGAACGGTGCTGGTGTAGCATAACTGACCTTTAGGGACCTAATATTTGGCAGCTTTCCCCCCGTGCCATCCATGGATGAATGACTGGATACTCATCAACCAGTTAGCAACCTTGAGTCATCTGGAGAAGATGAATATGAACCGAGCACGGTATTTGAAACATAAATAGTTTTTTCAGAACCACATAATTTACAAAAGATCCAAATTGCTCCTTTGTATCTTCAGGCGGTACTGTCATGTTTGACGAGAAGAACATCGAGCTCCACTCCCAGAACATCCTGATCGTGGACGGGGGCCACCTACAGGTGGGCACGGAGGAGGAACCATTCCAGCATGAGGCCACCATCATGATGCACGGCCACGTCCGCTCCACCGAGCTCCCGCTGTTTGGCACCAAGACGCTGGCTATCCGGAATGGCACCCTGGACCTCCACGGTAAGTGATCAGAAACCAGTGTTGGGGCAGTGGCATATCCAGGCTGGTGGGGGGGGGGAATGGACTATTTTCCAGAAAACAATTGTCCAATTTGTTTGAAGAATCCTCAAATCCCCCCTCCAAGAAAAAAAGACGATAGTGTCATTTCTACCATGCCGGTGCTTTCATTAATAATGAGCAACATGTCTCTTACAGCCCATGTGATATCACAAAGAGCATGGGTTTGTTCCAGTGTTTTTGGCTGAGCAGAGGGCCATCCAGGAAAAGACACCATATATTAAAACACTAATATCTTCTTACACTTGGAATGGTGTGGTCCAGATGCTGCTTCAGTCTCTTCAGTTGTTTATTGAGAATTTGCTTCACATAGAATTGTCCTATTAACCATGGGGAGTAAGGTTCAACTTAGATTTAGCATGTTAGCATGCACACCTTGGTATTTCGTTGAGCACAAGTGCGTACTTCACAACTTAGCCAATCAGAGTCCAGGAAAGGAGGAATTTAGATGTTTCAAAGTAACTGTTGAAATCTCGAACAGAGAAACTTTGTTGTCTGCCCTTACTTTTCGGATTAGGTCTTTAATCACAAATCACTCTGTCTTCCAGAGCAGTGTTCGAATATACATCATAAGAGAATGATCTTTTCACCTTTTTTTAACTGATCCTGCTCAGGGAAAAAAATTCCTGTGACGTGGACTCGCCTGGCTGAGAGTGTCAAGACAGGGGCCACAACCATGAGACTCGAGCAGGAGGTGACTTGGAAGGTTGGGGATGAGGTTGTCATTGCGTCCACAGGATATCGGCACAGCCAGAGGCAGAACGAACAGGTGAAACTCACAGGTAAAGTCTCTCCAAATCATCAGTGCTACCGCCCCATCCCCAAAGCGCAGGCCCGACATAGAGGGATAGGGGCCTTTAGTAGCAACCAGCTAGCCCCCAATCAACACAAATGTCGTTTGTGTGATGTGACCCCCGTAACTCTGGTACTGTAGCTAAGGGGGGGAGAACATCAGCCTGGAGCTGGCAACGGAGATGCCAAACCTCCATGGAGTTCTTCGATGAATGCTGTAATCGATAAAGCACAGGTTCACATATTCATATTCAGGCAAGCATTGTGGTTTAGATAACTCACTAGCATTTCACCTGCATGTTGTGGGTTAGCAAAATGGTTTAAGTACATGAAGGGGCATAAATGGCGGGACATGTTGTAGCAATCCTTGAAACGGGGACGAATTTCTTCACGAAAGTTGTTCTCATTCTTTCGGATATATCCTGCATGGAATAGGTAACAAATTCTTTTCAGCACAAACAAAAAATGAAATTCAGCGCCGTCCCGTATAACATATTCATGTTTTGTGTGCACTTGATATTAATGTAGTAGTCCAGCCCCGTTGTGATCACTCGGTGTGATTCGTCCAACCAGTGAAGGAGGATATGAAGACTAATATGAATGAGTCTTGACCCTAGGCTTCAGTTGATTGGTGTTATTGCTGATTCTGATTTATTCCTAACTCAGGTCATGTTTTCAGGGTAATGACAAGAGGAAAATCCCAAAGAAACCAAGAAAAAGAACCCAGTACAATTGAAATTAAAGGAATGTGTTCGTTTTTGCTATATGATAACGCTACTGCCTCATTCTTGTACATGTGCGTAGAAGGCTTTAATATACTTGATACAGTCAGTGTCGATACTCCATAAAGTTTGATACCTAACATTACCTAATATTCTCACCTTGACCGCTCAAGATGAAAATGTGTCTTATTCCTGGCTAGAAACAGTACAAGAGATCAGGAGCCACCTGTATTTATGCCCAAAAATCTGGTCAAAAGTACTGATCAAAGTCAGTGAGCATGGCGGCATGGTCCAACGGTCTCCAAGATAAAAAGAAAGTATTCGCGCTTCTGCATGCAGGCCACAAAAATCTATAACGTCAGAGCCATGACATCATCTAGAATATATTTTGTTAATAAACTATGTATGATATGAGGTGAGTCCCCAGATCTCCAGATGACTGTGTAAAGTTTTCAATTTGGTGTTTTGGATTAGAAAGCCAGTGCAATATTGTTCAACTCATCAGCCCTGTGAGTTTTCATATTTGGCTAATGTTTGCATAACACTGTATTACTGTATTGAGCCAAAAACAAATTTGGATTTACCCAGGTTAAAAAATAATAAGTAAATATTCTACATTTGACGCCTTATTTCATATTAAGCAGTTGTACAGGACTTCTCACTTTGCTGTCGATGAGGGGACTTACATTTTACATCGGGTTTAGGGAAGAGTATTTTTTCTGATCCAGTTTTGAAATCAAGCACTTGAGGAATTTCGTCCTCTTACAGGTGTGTCATCTGATGGAACTGAGCTTACATTTACGCCAGCCCTGAAGTACGACCACTTCGGCATAACACAGACCATAGATGACGTCACTCTGGAGATGAGAGCAGAAGTGGGTCTTCTGACACGTAACGTCAAAGTCCGCGGATCCGTGCAGGAAGAATGGATTGAGGAATACGAGGAATGCCCAGAAGACTTTGACACTGGTAAGTACCATGACCTCCATTATATTGTACTTCAGTAACCAGTCTAAAAGCTGTCTATAGATGCATGTCGGGGGAGTTTGTTGTTTAGTCGGTCTGTCAGTGTGATCACTGCAGGGAAGTGGTCTTAAGTGTTAGCCAGTCAGCCTGCCCTGGGTTTGATTTGAAATGATCTGAGTTTGGGATTTTTTCAATAAGTCCTCAATCATGTCCTATGCTGCATTTTGTCTAAAGATTCCAGACAGAATTGTAACCACACAAATGAATTTGTTACTCATCAAAAATGCTCAACACTTTCAGTTTCTTTCCATGTTTTCTAGGCCAGTTTGCAGGCCAAACATGCTTCCTGGGGAAGTTTGGTGAGGAAACAGGCAGCGATCAGTTTGGTTCCCAGATTATGTTTTTTGCTGTAAAGCCAGATGAGCACCTTGTGACTGGTCACATCGAATACGTGGAGGTCACCTACGCTGGCCAGGGCTTCCGTCTCGGCCGCTACCCAATCCACTTCCACATGAGTGGCGATCTGTCAGGATCGTACGTGCGTGGGTGTGGCATCCACAACACGTTCAACCGTGCTGTCACCATCCACGGGGTGCACAATCTCCTGGTGGAGCACAACGTGGCTTACAAGGTCATGGGACATGCCTTCTTCATGGAGGACGGCATCGAGACAGGTAACATCATCCAGTACAACCTGGGCGTCTTTGTCCGCCCCAGTAGCAGCTTGCTCAACGTGGACATCACCCCGGCTGCCTTCTGGGTCACCAACCCAGACAACATCGTCCGTCACAATGCAGCAGCCGGGGGCTCACATTTTGGCTTTTGGTACAACATGCCCGCCCACCCAGGAGGCCCATCATTCACTACCACTATCTGTCCCCGCAATGTCCCACTTCGAGAGTTCCGCAACAACTCTGCCCATACCCAGGGCTGGTACGGTCTGTGGGTGTTCCCCTCCTATCATCCAAAGAAGGGCGGCGGCTGCGATGCGACAGAGGATGAACCAGCCAAGTTTTACTCCCTGTATGCCTGGGAGACAGAGCGAGGTGCCGAGGCCGTGGCTGTCGGGGCCATCCAGTTCCATGACTTTGTGGTCTCAGATGCCGACATGGCAGGGGTGGAATACCAGCGGATCAACGCTCCATGGGGTGACGGCGGGGCCCTAGTCAAGGACCTGGTGGTGGTTGGCCACAGCCAGATATCCGAGGACAAGAAAGCCGAGAAGTGCACCGTGGCCGGCGTCAACGGTCCGCAGCTGGAGGGCCTGACTGTAGATGGAGCCAAGTTTATCAACTTTGACCAGGAGCGCTGCGCCACGCTGGCCTACTGCTCCAAATGCAGACAGTACCAAGGGGGTGAGTCAGTGCGACTCAAGAGACTGGAGTTCTTCAACTCACCCAACAGGGCATCTTTCAAGTGGGAACACGAGTGCTGGTTCGAGGACCTGGACGGCACTCTGACGGGATCGCCCAATCACCTAGTTCTCCCGAGCAACCCCAACCTTCCCCCAAGTGCCTGTAAGCAGGAGGCAAAATACGGCTTTGGCAACGTGCCTGGATCAACGTGCGATGACACCATCCGTCTCCGCCGACTGTCCTTCAACAATGCCTTGCCGTCCTCACTGGTGTACAAAGCGGCACTGTTCACTAATGCCCATGGAACCACCGTGGCGCCATTTGCTGAGAAGCGCCTAACACACCCCAACGGCTGGATGATTACCCTCATCCAGGGAGACACTTATAACTTGGCCTTCCAGGATGTAGAGCACGTCACCAACATTACGTATGATGCGGTGTTTTACGGCTACTTGGATGGAGACTACGTGCTAGTCAACCACAGACTCACTCAGACTCCTGACCGCTTCGCCATGAATGGTCAGTTCAAGAACGTCACAGACGATGTCTTGACATATGACGGGAACGAGAATGGTGACATGAGCTATGAAGGTGACACCAAAACTGTGACATACCTTGGTAAGACCCTAGTGGTTTGGGTTTGACACAGGTCTAGAATTGTGAACTCAAGAAAAGCATGACAGAGGGAGGGGGGGAGGAAGATTGTTTCCCCTAAAATGCCCCCCTTTGAGACAGAATCTTGTTTCCCCTAAAATGCCCCCCTTTGAGACAGAATCTTGTTTCCCCTAAAATGCCCCCCTTTGAGACAGAATCTTGTTTCCCCTAAAATGCCCCCCTTTGAGACAGAATCGTCATCAAGGAGTGTGTCTTGGTATACATCCCCCCTTGTTTTTTTTTTTAAGACAAAGAAAAGCTTGTTGTTCTGAAACTCTGAGGGACAGGCAATTGACTGCCAGCAACCCTTCGGTACAATTACATGTAGGCCCTCCAAGTGCCTCTCACAGATTAAAACCTAGGTGTCATGTTTGTAAGCCATGGCCAGACATAACTACAAGTGGGACGAAATTTAGTTTTGATATTCCATCCCTTTCGAGGGTTTGTTAACAAAGGTTTTAGATAAATAGGTGTCTCTTAGGGGAGGAATAGGCGTTCAAATATTCTGCAATGATGCTCAAAAGCCTTCCATCTGTGAAACTTATTTCATTCCCCCTGAACATTTTCAGTATCTGGCAAGGGCGAGTTAGCTCCCATCAACCGTGACGTCCACCCCAACTTTTACAGCTGTTTCTACAAGGACTGTCTGCCCACTCCTCCTCAACCGCCCCCGGACAACAAGCCAGATGACTTCAGGCGGTGGTCCAACGCGAGTGCTTGGGAGAGTGGAAGCTTGCCAGCCGACGGGGCAGACGTGATCATACAGCCCAGTGAGTTGTAAAACAGATATTGATAGGCTCCCTGGTTGATAGTACACATGTGGAAAATGCAAAATTGGTGAGTGATGTGATAGCTGAGTTGTTTGGGGTTGGAATCTGCTATCATGCACCCCCCCACACACACACAGCCGTGAGGTGGTCCAAAATAACCCAGCTCTATGGTGGTGTAATCCTTCAAGCAAGCATCTCCTCAAATATGCAAATTCTGCATAATTGACCTGTATCCATGGAGGAATCGAAGTCTAGAAAAAAGGATGGTGCCTTCAGAATGCTACAAAATTGCTTCAGATAGAGGTGATTGATTCTCTCTTAATAAATTTCTTCCTCTTGAGTCCTTCACAGTAACGTCAACACTATTGTTTCTTTTTCACACTGTGACATTTTTTCTCATTTTAAATATTTGGCACACATCATGCCCCATTTTAAATGAAATACCTTTTACATTTCTCTTGGGCTTAATTTTCTGAAGTTCTTGGTGTGCAGTAATGTTGTAGTGTTTTTGTGTGCACAGTGTAGTTGTTTTACCCCGGACGCATTTTCTTTACATTTTGGATTGCACAGGCCCATATTGGACCCAACTGGCAATACGCCATCGGCCTTTGTAGTCTATCTTGGCACCAGACTGTTTCCATTTCCTTTCTATATTACTGTAACTGCTTTAGATTTGTTTCCTGTTCCATTTTTTCTTTTTGTGTAGGCTGATGTTCATTGTACATGTTCAAGGTCTGTGCCAAATAAAACCAAAGCAAACCAAACTGTTTTCTTTTCTGGGCTGCAGCGGTCTGGATGTTGGCAGACGTCCAACTCCCCGTCATGAACAAGCTCGTCATCTACGGCGGCCTGGAGATTGAAGACTCCCAAGACAACAAGCTGGAGGCCACCTACATCCTGATCCAGGGCGGCCGGCTGGTCATTGGGTACTCGGAGGAAAGACCCTTCCAACATGAGATGAAGATCTTGCTGAATGGACACCACTTCACTGAGCAAATTTCACTACCCTCTGGACCCAACCTGGGATCCAAGGCTCTCGGTCCGTTTCTCTGATTGTATAGGAGTCCACTCACACAGGAATTGGCAATTTCCAAATGTCCATCTGTTGTTGGGCCCCCTGGGGAGACCAAATTGATTTCACATTTTGGGCACGAGTCTCCAACTTTGGTGTCATGATGAATCACGGGTTCAGTCTCCAAAAACGAGACCCTCAAGCTCCATCACTGTCACAGAAACTTCACAATATGTAGCCAGAGTTTGGGGCTTGGGGTTGACTTACTTATTGACTTGTAATTGACACTGTTTTTAACCCATGGTTGACCTTTGATCAACTTGTGATTTAGCCTTTACCTTAACTGTGATTAAACCAAAGGGGGCATGGGGCCAAGTGGTAAGGGTCTGTGGCTTGCAATCATAGGGTTGGAGGTTCGAATCCAGCTACTGGCAGTATGTTGTGGCCCTTGGCAAGCCACTTCACCCCTGCTTGCGTCTCTCCACTCAGGAGTATAAATGGGTACCAGCATTAGCTGGGAAGCAACCTGTGATGGACTGGCATCCCATCCAGGGGGAATAGAAATATTTTCAGCCGTTTCATTCCAAGAAACCAGAGATAAACACCAACCTGATGAGCCAAATTGGCTCAGACCAGATTGACTTAGTAATTTATGCTTTGAATAACCCATGGTTGTTTCTGTGATCAACTTGTGATGTAACCTTTAACTTGTAATTGACATATGGCAGACTTCTGACTGACTCGACTTGATAATTGACTGTAACTAGCACTGTGATTGACCTGTGATGAACCTGTTTTTGACTTGTGATTGATCTCTGGATAGGCTTGAGATTTGACTTTTGATTGACTGTGTGATTGTGTTTTGCCTGATATGTCATCAGGCGTCTTTGGAGGCCTGGACATCCACGGCAAAAATCGCAGCATCTACTGGACCCAACTGTCCGCCACCGTCTCCCCAGGAGACACTACCCTGACCGTCAGGGACCAGACTGACTGGCAGGTAGGTGACGAGATCGTGGTAGCAGCCACCTCCTACGAAGCCTGGCAGACGGAGACGTTCAAAATTGAAGCCGTCACTGATACGTCTACCTTCCAGATCAATGGGAGCTTTGCATATAGGCATGTCGGTGAGTGAAATATGTTGAAGACAGTCAGTTTGGTTGAGCAAAAGCATTTTTAGAACACTCTGAAACATTCCACCGTTGCACCTCCCTGTCCTATCTCAGGTGTTCACTGACGAATAGTTCTGAAATTTCATGTGCATGCAAGATGTCCATTCTTGGTACATTTACAAAGTTGCAAATTGTGTTTTAATGTCATCAGTGGATGACAGCGCTCCATATCAGTGGAAGAGCAGTGCTCGTTGTGGGTGAGAGTGGACATTTTCACCAATCCATGCTCAAAAGCATTTTTGCAACGACCATATATGCGGTTTTTGTAAAATCTGTACAAATATGTCATAATACAGAGAAACAAAAGCTCACAACCATTGAAAGGAATTGTAGTAATCAGAACCAATACAAGATGGCCACCCTTAGTGCACTCATTTTATCCCAGTGCCTATCTATTCAAGGGGTAAACCTGGCCTTCAACCCCCTTGTTGTAAGTGCAGTGATGGCTAATTTTGAGACAAATTTAAATATGAAAATTTTGAACATGTCTAGATGTCCATTTATCCTCTCCGAGTTTAGATTTTCATTTGATGTTATGTTTCATGTTCTAGAGATTTTGTATCAAGCACAACTTTTACCTGCATGTACATACTCCGTCATTTGTGTCTGAAATGGAACTGAAATGCATTTTGATTTTATTTTGAACAATTGCCTGCACATGCAGTATTCAGTGGAACCTCAGATAATCCTCACCGATAGATAAAAGTTTCCCTCTTCGATCTGTCCAACCAGCTGATTATACCGCTGACTACACCCTGGCTGCCGAGGTCGGATTACTGACTCGTAACATCAAGATAGAAGGCAACGACTATGATCTTCTCTTCAAGGAGTCGTTTGGCGCTCGCGTCATAGTGGGCAGATTCTTCCAGAGTGGAACTGAGTACAAAGGTGAATCCAGTCCTCTATCATTGTCGACGGAAGGGGCAGAGCTAGATTTGAGCAGAGTTGTTGAAGTTGTTATTACAGAATGACTAAAAATGTACCCATATCCACTGATGTTTAATTTTGCTGTTGACATGAGACGAGCTGTTCAATTTTGGTTGAGACATCACATGACAAAGCTCCTTGGTTTAATGCGAGCATTCAAAACTGACGATTGACACAAAAAAGATAGTATGTTTCTTTTCTGTTATTGATTATAACAGGAGAGAGGAAAATGGCCCTTGTTCCTAAAGGTTATTGATTTAGTTCAAAATGAATGGAATTTTTTTGTAAATTTGCCTCAGATTTTTGGAGGAGGGTCATAAAATGAGATTGAGGAATCGTGTGCTTGCGCAGAATTGTTGGATCTGAAGGTATGTGATAGCTCATTAATTGGCCATGGATTGATTGTGGATGTCTAGCACAAGTCAATCTGTTTACCACTGTCCTACAGGGTATGCCCGAATATCTAATGTCCAGTTCTTCCACACGGGCCAGCTGGGTTGGTCAGACAGCTTTGACCCTCGCTACTCCCTGGCCTACCTGGACATTGGCCGAGTCACCGAGAAGTTACCCTCCTACGTCAAGGGATGCAGTTTCCACAACGGATTCAGTCCGGCCATCGGCGTCTTCGGAACCGACGGACTACTCGTGAAGGACAACGTGATACATCACACGGTGGGACCGAGTACGTACTGGTTATGTGTCACAAAATGATCAGCTGTCCACTCTTAGCGAGAGCGAGGGCAAGGGATGGCGTGTGATGGGAACTTATTGGGCGCGCCAAAAACTTCTGCACATGTTAGCATGAGATGTACTGAACATGCACAACCAGTTTACTTCGGAATGTGCAGTCTCCACCTATGTGCCTAGTTTGAGGATGGATCAGGGTTGGGGGGGCAACGGGTCATGGTGCAACCTCACCCAAGAGGATCCAAAACGGGGAGTTGAACAAATATCAAAGAGAAAGCTAGCATAGTTTTCCTTCCCTCGAAAAGCATGTAAAAAACATCCAAATGTAGCTTTAACCCTCAGGAATGGCCTAAAAGGTTGGTTAGCTGAAAGTGATGCCAAATATTTTGGGCCCCCCCAAAAAAACAAGTTTGGCTCCACTAAATTGGGTTCTTGATCCATCCTTGGCCCACTTGAGACAATGCCCATCAACCTGTCCATTTGTTTGCCAGTGAGATGATGCTCCATGTTGGGGCAGATACACTGCTTTTAATACTGAATATTATATAAATAATGAATGTTTGTGAGTGCAATGGAAAGAACCATTTCATGTGGAATAGAGCATTTAATCTGTCACTTCCTGGAATCATTCTCACCACTGCACTCATTAACATTGATTATTTGTTTTATACAACACTTGAGTTGATTATTTGTAAACTTTGTGAACAAATCACTGTTTGGCTTTCGTCAGTCCAAAGTAATAATGAAATGCAAATTTGTCACACTTTCACTTTAGTTGATCCTTAAACATATATTCCCTGTGCATGTGCCTCTCACAATTTGCTTAATTGTTTGACAAGCTGCTTGGTTTCTTTCGATCACATAATATGACCACTACTTGTGAGTTCAGAAATTTCCTCCTCTGACAGAAGACTAAATGGTACCGATATTTCATGTTTATCGCCATCACTTGAACCTTTGTACGTTGGTGCGAATTAGAGCCGTCACTGCGTCTGAAGCACGTACGAAGGCATTGCAGCATTCTATCTGTGCGCACCAGACGTGCACGCAGGACAGTGTGTGACAAATTAGTATAAACCAACGGTACCAAACGATCCGCGACACGGCAACCCCAACCCACCAATCAAATTTGCACGTGGATTTATTCAGGTGTTATGTAATGCTTACCATGCACACTGGCAGCCAGATGTTGCAATCACAGTTACCCTTGCTGGGTGCCACATTCTCATCTAAAAGAAAAATTGCCTCATTAAAGAGGATTGCTCTCTCATTAAGTATTTCCTAGTAGTGGGAATTATTTGGTGTTTTGATATATTAAAACTTGGTGAATTGTTCTTTTGGACTGTTTTACATTTTTAAGCCCAGTCTGGGAGGTTTTTACTATAGTTAGAAGCTTAAACTCTGATAATATTTAAACTTTTTTTCAAAGGTGTGATTATATGGGGCAATGGTAACCAGCTCATCCACAACCTGGTGGCCCTCGTCGTCTTCCCGGGGACCTACCAAGACCGCTATGAGGAGCACAATGCAGATTGGACTGGGGGCATCGAGGTGGAGAAGGCAGGCAAAGTGGTCATGGTCAACAACACGGTGGCCGGCTCGGAGCGGGTGGCCTTCAAGACTTCAGGCGAGGCCTGCTCCGCCGCACCCAGCCCTGAGGCAGAATGGTTTGGCAACGTGGCTCACTCAACACTGCGGGGAGTCTACCAGCTGAGGACCGGGCAACCAGGGTGCACCAAGATTGCCAACTTCTTGGTGTACAAAAGCTGGGACTTTGGGATCTATGCCCAGGTACAGCATTTTTGAAGTGACAAGGCCACGAAAACAAACACCCTGAATGAACATTTTGGCATGGACCTTCTCAGTCTTGGAGGATGAGAATTTACTCCAAATTGAGACTCAGCAATATAAATTCCAATCTTTCTAATGTTTAACACATGTAAAGACTTCCCTAATGAGTACATTTGTGAAGTTAACTCAGATCAATGTGTGGGTATGTTCTCAGGGTCATATGTGATTCACACGCTCATATGTATTGGCTGGCATGAATTGATAACAAGTCAGGGGCAGCGTTACAACCATTTTGGAAAAAAATGAACATTCCAGAGAACATGACATCTTACATGTATAAAATTTGGTGTCAGAATGGCCATTGCAATGTTTGGACGGTTTGGAAAAATGCCTCACAACAATATCACAGAAAATGTGCCTCAGTTGATTTTATCCCCGTTGCCTGGCTCTCTCAGTGTCAAGTATCAATCCTGTGCCAATGTCACTCGATGTCAGAACAAGTCCTAGTCTGAATACTGGTTTGATTATAGCATGACCAACTTCTGTAGAATGGAGAATAGTTAGTACTGTTCTCATCTAGTACTCGACAGTGGCAAATGTTTCAAGGCATTTGACTGGCAACTTTTGGAAAAACTGTTTAAATGTCGGAATTTTCAAAGTCTCCTTACTAATTCTTTTAAGAGAGTGGAACACAGTTGAAGAACGCGACAATCCATTCATTAATTTCCTGCCTTCAGTTTGGAAGGGGGTCCTGCCATGTTAGGAGAGTCTTGGATCCATACTTACGGCATCAGACCCCTCAGTAAATTAAGTTTGTTTTAAATTGTTCCATGGAGAGTGACGGTGATCTGGCTTTCTCAGTACCCTACCTCAGCCCCCGTAAATAACTCTCTGCCGAGTTGTACATTTTGAAGTAGTCTTTGTGACCAGTTTAAAAGTCTCTGTGACCATGACCTTGAAATTACAAATCAGATCGGATCCAGCATCATCATGTCAGACCTGACGCTGGTGGACAACAAGATGGCCGTTCTGCCCCTGGTGATCGGCCCAAATCCACTTAGGCATCAAACCGGGGATGTCTCCGTCCGGATGGAGAATTCCCTCATTGTTGGCGTCAGTGATTCCTTCGATTGCCGGGCGGATGCTGTAAGTTTGCTATTCGTTCGGTCTCCTATAATAAAGCTTGAAGAATACCGTTAGATAATGATTTGAGTTTTGGTTTTATGTGTTCTGTATGCAGTTGTAGGCAGACCTCTTATGTGCATCCAAATGATCTGGGATATGCTTCACTTTGAGCATGTACTGTTGGAATAACGAACTGGCCCATTAAGAGTACCAATACGGCCGTTTCACAATAAGGCGCCTCCAAGAGTTTGCAACGCATTGGCCAATTACAACGCTCGAAATTTGTCGACCCTTTCTAAACGCGCATTGGGTCGACAACTTTCGCGCATTGTAATTGGCCAACGCATTGCAAACTCTTGGTGGCGCACTACTGTGAAACGGCCGCATTAGGTCATGGATTTAAGTCACAAATCCTGTCTCCCTCTCAGAGGCATAGCCATGGGGGGCCTGGGGGCCATGTACCCCCCACAAATTCCTAGTGCCACCCAGGTGCCCCTCCCCCCACTAAAAAAAAAGATGAATTAATCAATATTAAACTAGGCTAACAAAAGCTTGCCCCCCCCAAAAAAATACACCGCTGAAAGCTGGTTTCCCCCACATGAGATGCTGGTGCCCCCTTGTGCCCCACATTAGTAATATCCTAGCCACGCCACTGCGTCCTCTTCACATAAGATTCTAATTGTTATTTCATGGAAATAGTGACAATATGATGTCAGGCCATCAGGATGTCACTGCCTGACAAATATAACAGCTCTCCCAACTTTCATCGTACTTTTCGCATTTTCTCCTCCCCTCCTCTGCCCCTTTCGCTCTTCAGGTTGCACCCGAGAATGCCCGGCAGAGCGGAATGACGAGGAGCCCTCGCGCCCCCGGTAAAGGCCACTCCGGATTTGTGTGGGCCAGTTTTGTCCAGGGGGGGAATTTAGCACCTTCAATGTCGCATCCTCATCACCAAGCCCATCTTTATCCCACCATCAATGGTCGGAGCGAGCTCCACAGTAAGTCGAAACCCGAAACAGCCACAGTGTTTATTTTGGGGGGGAAGGGGATGAATTTGCCGTCAGGTCTCAGTTCCTGCAATTTGCTGCTTTTGTTTTAATTGAGCATGCATATTGACCAACGAGGGACTACATTATTTTGGGCTGGTAAACAAGATTTTGAAAGAGACAAGACGTTTTGGCCAAGTTATTCAAACCTAACACTCCTCATACTGAAGCTCAAGACGCATTTGTTCAGCATTTGTACAATTTTTCTCGCCGTAACTTCATATTTTGAGATGCATCAGTGAGGTCCTACTGCAGAAGGATATGAGCAGGCCATGTACGTTTACAGAGTTGAAGTTCAGTGCACACAGTCCATCGATCATCTTCACAGACTTCACAGACATTGTGTACGTGTCCCAAACCTACATGCATGTATATCTCTGTACGTTTGCCATCAGAGATTAAGGCACCACTAAAGTGATTTTTTTTCATTGCATCCTGCCTACTTGGTGAATAAATATGGAGTTTCATCTGTTAAAATGCACATTAACAGGGTATCGCTAGTGCATTTCCATGACTGGGTTTATTTCAGAATTTCTCCCTCAGAAGCTTTTCAAATGTTGTCCATATCCTTGTCTGGGAGGATACTTAAGGCTCATGGCACATCTCACATGTGTTCAAAAAGCAACATTTTGAAACTCCTTGGATGTGCCATGGCCTCTATATGGCCCACTTCCACCAGATCCACCAATGAAGCAGTTGGGCATGAGGAACCTAGAACTCCATGGCATGGGCTAGTAGCCCTTCATGGTTAGTGTCATTTTCACCAAAAAATGCTTACCGTTTTGTTACGATGTGGCAAACAGATGTGGTTTTCAGGGGCTTCGGCCAGCACTGCAAGCGGACCGATGCCGCCATCATGACCAACCCAGGGAGCCAGAATGCCATGCATCCTCTTATCACCTCGGGGATCAAGATGGAGGAGGTGGCCGAGGAGCGGAAAATATTCATACATCATCCGAGCCTTGGGTAGGTGTGAAGAAGGCGTGAATGTCACTCAGAAACACACCACAGTCTTGCGTTGATGAGTCACTCCATTCTTATCGATTTGGGATATCACTCTTTGTGTCTGTAAAACATTCCAAGCACCGCATGAGTAGCATTTCCAAGAACTTTTGAGGAGAAAAATATTTAGTAATACAAGAACTGCTACAAACTGTTGACTGCATTGACCTGAAATAAAGATGAAGTCCTCTAACATTTTAGAGAGAACAAAATCACAGACTTGCTCAGGTGAACCAGAGAAGATCGGTTCCTCTGGCTTGGTTAGCGATGCAAGTTTGTTCATTTACCCAAAGTGAATAACAAGAGTTTGAATTATTTGTGCAGTGTTATTTAAAATGAGCAAAAAAGGCAAAGGCTTGTACTTAAGCACTGCTGAAATGCATCACTGTGTGTCCTCAAGAGTGACTTTATCGAGTAATGTCGCTAAAATGTGGGTGATGTCTACATTAATTTTGGCGTTGATAGCAAGGTGAACCCCTCTGACTGTGTCGACATGGACTGCGATGGAATGAAGAAGGCCATGATCCGTGACATGGACGGTAGCCTGCTGGGCTCTCCCGGCACCATCATCCCCCAGTCGGAGTTTGAGTGGGACGGTGACCCGCGGCGCGGCCTGGGCGACTACCGCATTCCCAAAGCCATGCTGACCAGACTAGATGGATCTCGAATTCCTATTGATGAGAAGGCTCCAAATAAGGGTGAACAAAAGAAAACATAAATGTGTGAAGCCTATGTTGTGCCTTGAAGTCATGCAACACAATTATATTCCTACAACCTTTGAGAATGTACCTTTGAGTTTTAGTTAACCTTATTTTCTGTTCTCTTTGTTACTTTAATTGAAAGGTATTTTGCTAGCTTTTTGGTTTTTATGTTTTAATGCCAACGTCCACATTCCTGAGCAACCCTGTGATGCCATCCCAGGGATTAAGTCTCAAATATTGCATTTTTGTGTATAAGAAACTGCTTGATGTCTTTTTATATTGCTACCCTGAATTTCCTTTTCTCTGGTGATTTATGGTTGTGTAAAACGTGTTCATGACCATAGGCCAACGAGTAACCTTATTTCAGAAATGCTTGCAATTTACCAAATTTTGGTTCACAATTTGAGCAGTAAAACATAGAAACTGAACAGTGCCTTCCCAGCTAATCACAGTACAGGGAGCATCAATTATGAAGAAAAAAAACGTGGACAATTTCTAATGTTTGAATTATTCAATACACTCACGCATAAGGATGTTGTATAGCCTACATGTACTTTTCCTACATTGAGGACAAGTATAAATGTGCGCAAAAAGTGTGTCAAAAGAGCCGACCAAATATCAGGTGTTTAGGAGACAACTTGGGTCCTGTTTGAGTTTTTTCAGTCTTTATAGAAATTTCCATTTCTAAAGATTTTTCAAAGCCTTTTTTGTTGTTCTTTTGCTAATGCAAGTTGTGAGCAAAGTAGCGATGTCAGCCTAGGCGAAAGCCACAGAGTGTTACAGGTGCCTGAAAGCAGGAATTTGTTTTTCCTTTTTTTTGGTGATTTTTTTCAGGTGCTAAAATTACTGGTCTATTGTGCTGTCTCTCCCTGTAGGCATTTACCGGGGTCAGGAAGACGAATGCGAGTGGAAGGCAGACTGGCAGGCCTACGAGTGCCACGGCATCGACCACATGATGCTGGTGGTGGAGAGCATGGACGACGACACCGAAGTCCGTCGCCTGACGCCGCTGGCCATGTACACCAACAGCTACGTGGACTTGGTCAACGGGCCCGAGGATCACGGCTGGTGCAATGGGTAAGTTGGAGCCCAGTTACCTGCGAGGTTAATCTACCCCTGGCTCCGCCCCACTCATTTGCTTGAGTTGACACTTTTCGCAACATGTTCCTCATTTCTTCTGTTAAAGTTCGTGCCTTCAGCATATACTAACAAATTTCATAAAAACCGGAATTGTTTTTCTTTTCTCTGAGAATTTCTTTTAATTTGCCTCTTGATTCCTTGTTTGAGTGCAATGCAATTCCGTCTTACAGCATAATACCAGACACAGGATGGCATAATAGTGTTTGTGGTCCATGTACATGAAGGCTGTCATCATTAAACTGTGACCAAACCTAACAACATGAGTTCAAAGTCATCACAATCTGTCTGTTAGTTTAAGGCCCTCCCACAATTCCAAATCAGTGATCAAACCTAACCTTTATCCCCCATATAACGCTCATTTATGAATATTCCAAACTGAGTGATACATCCAGTGCAAACAAAAATAAACGAGACAGAAAAAAATTGCCTTGAGCCTGATTTTTAGTAGGATGGAGTGTCATGGATGAAATTGAACGTTGGCTGTCTTTGCCGTGGTACAGGTACACATGCCAGGAGCGCATCAGCACCTTCTACACCTTGGTGGCCACTGGCAAGGAATACGAGGTGTACTTCACCAGCACCAACCCCCAGGGCATGCGCTTTCACCTGCTAAACTCTGACCAGAGCCAAGCAGTGGTGGTCGGCGTCTGGTATATGAAGCCAGCACGCTTAGACGTCTATTACCAAGTGAGCTGCTTTGATTGTTGGTAAAAAAGGTTACCAAGCATGTGACTGAACTAAACACATTGAGTCAGAGTCATAACTTTGAGTTAGAGGCATTTACAGAGAATCTTGTAGTGTAAATTAATCAACTGAGGAACCCTCAGTGTCCATTTTTGTCCAAACATGTAAGATGTTGGCAGCGATGTTATTCTATGTTTGCACATTTAAGATAATAAATACAATGAAATGCCGTTATAACAAACAAGATGGGGGTCCACGCTAAATGTTCGCTACAGCGGTCATTTGGTATAGCGAATTTAACCGCCGAACGTTTCGTTGCCATGTTGAATAGCGCCCTCTCTTGTCTAACCGAAGTGCACCCTCTTGTGGTACCATGGTTCATTGTTTTCGTGATGTTTTGCCGTTGCATTCAAGTTTAAGGTTTCGAGAAATGTGTCTGTTAATTATTTTTGTTTCTTATTTAAACTTGAGTCAAAAAATTGATATCAAGTTTATCCTAAAAGTCGTGAAACTACCGCTCAGGATCGATCTCTGATGCATGCTGTGGTGAATCTTGGTTGATTTGTGTATCAGCGGCGCCCTCTTTAGACTATTGTTAGTGCAATGCCACTGTGCGCATACGTGCGGTTTTCTTCCACACCCAATCATGTGGAGTCGCAAAACCAGTGTCCACTTAATACCGTTGACAACTAGTGGCTCTTCCTTCTCATTCTTGGGAAAATAATGGTCACTTGTCACTTTCCAACATAAAAAAAAACACCGACTGTTTTATCATGTTGACGTTCGGGAATTACAAATGGCAACTGAATAGTGTTCGGTAGGTTCTGTGCACAAATTATTGGGAGCCAAGGATGATGTTCCGTACAGCCGAATGTTCGGTATAGCGGTGTTCAGTATAGCGGCATTCCACTGTAGTTGTTAAGTATCATATTCACTGTATGATAATTTAAAAATGAGAAAAATCCCGGAACTATGGCTTAAACTAAACTAACCAACAACCAAAGTTCCTTTAGGACACTGCATATGCCGTGTAACTTCTCATGAGTATTGATTTTACCTATACATGTATGTATATAGCTCTAACACTTGAGATAATCATGTCAAAGCATGAAAACATAAAGCAACTTTCTGATGTCTAAATGGTTTTGTCAGTTTTGTACTGATAAAAATTTGTTTTGACAATTGCGTACATTTCCTGTCCTAGAATCGCTATGTTGTCCCAAACAATGGCGACACCAGCTCTGGGGAGCTGATCTGGAATCCCAAAGACCCAGAGAAGCCGGACAACCAGTTCAACCCCTCGCTTGACTCGGACGTGCACGGCGAGAACTACTTTGACCGAGACACCAAGACTTTGTGGGTTCTGGTGAAGGGGCCCAAGCCTGTTGAGATCCGCACCACAGCTGTCGTCATGGTTTCCTTTGGTGTCCCTGCCGTCTCACTGGATGACTTCTACGAGAGTGGGAACCTAGTGAAGAACCTGGCTAGCTTGCTCAACCTGGACCCCTCACAGATCCGGGTCGTGGAGGTGGTGCGGGAAGGAACCCGTAGGCGACGACGCTTGGCCGAAGGCCAGTCTGGAGTGGAGTTGGAGATTGGACCACAGCCGACGCAGGAGATCGAGCCACCAGGAGAGGAGGCTACCACAGAAGCTCCAACAACTACAAGTAAGAGTCAGAGTATAATTGAGGCCCGTCTGCCTTGATCAGAAGTACCCCTCAGCGGTCGAAGAGAGTGCATGTTGCTAGGGACTGTCAATTATGTTGTGTTGGTAGCCGCAGGACTGTAAGGCGTACATGTCATAGTCGTTTGTGCCAGCAAAGTGACGTCTCCACCAGAGGAGCTTCTTTTGCATCACTTTTACCAACCAAAGTGCATTGTGTCTGATAAGTCAGGATAAAAAAGAAAAGATATTGCTTCATGGCTTGCATTGTCCGCACATCAGTTCAGACCCTTTCAAAGTTAAGTTTGACTGGCCCACATGGGTGTTCTTGCCATCCCATGCGTAATGGAACCATGTGCTACACATCCATTGGCATATTGCAGGATTATGCATGATGTCGTCGCTAATGCCTGTCTGAGGGTTTGTAACAGTCCATGCTCATCAGCTATGCTAAATTTATAAACCAAAGTTTTACCTAATTTTATGTTTTTTCACTGTCACTGTAAAGATTATTTGCTTTATGATTTTATATTTGACAGTTTTCGGGTGATAAACATTCTGTCGGAACTTTTCTGTGAATGACAATCAGTTTTATTTATTTATCTTTTTTCAATACTGTTGTTTCACGTGAGCACGCAAGCTGCAAACGACAGGTGTTTATCTGCAAGATGATAGGTAGCTGTTTGGAATTCTGTTGCGTTATGTTGTGAGTTTTCTTTGTCCCTCAGGATCCTCTGGCTCAGAGGTGGGCTATGAAGACCTCCTTCGGGTGACATCGCAGCTGGCTGACGGCATGCAGTTGGGGACGCTGTCCAAGTACTTTGGTGTTCCCATCAGTCTGACAATGTCTGAGCCTGCTCCCCCAGTGGTGGACCCCACTGGAGGAGTGCGGGCTACCAATGAGACAGGTGGAAGCCCCGATGTCCCCCCGGGATCAAAGCGGTAAGAAAAAAAAGAACTGGTTAACGCTGTTAGGGCAACTCAGTTTACATTTGGTTAATCGATCGGTGCATTCATTTATTGAGTCACGTTTTTTGTTCAGTCAATCAAAAATTGACTTTTGGAACTTAAAAAGCAC